TAATTTATGCGCATGGGTATTTTGCTTGCATGTCTTTCTGCACTCCTTGCAAGTCTGATACCTGTAGAAACTGGAAGAGAACATCAAACCTTCTGTAACTGGCATCAACAGATGGCTGTGACCACCACTTGGGTGCTGGGAACAAGCCTGAGTCCTTTGGAAAAAGAGACGGTGCTCTTAACTGCTGTGTCCACTCCTCAGCTCCAACCTTTTAACCACCAACAACTGGGAGTTAGGCATTGTGGTTCATTCCTGGAATCTCAATATTTCGGGGGCCAAGAGAAGAGGAAACCCATGAAGTACATACCATCTCCCTCCTTCCCTCCCTCATCTCTCTCTCTCTCTCTCTCTCTCTCTCTCTCTCTCTCTCTCTCTCTCTCTCTCTCTCTCTCTCTCACACACACACACACATGCTTAAAAAATTTTAAAGTTAAACACAGAAAGATTTTTCAATTTGTTTGCCTTATAATTCTGAATGTTACTGACTTACCATAAGATTAAATTTCTGAATAGCCCTTCAAGGTTCAAAAGTTATTTTTGGAGCTTGGGACATAGTTTTTAGTGGAATGAATGCTGAGTGTGTATGAGCCCCTGCGTTAGATTCTCCAGCACCACCAAAGAAAAACAAAAAGGCTCCAGTCATGATAATGGGGTAAATAATGCTTTGTGTGACCTGAGAGATTATTGGCAAGCCTTGAGTCATTTGCTTAATTCGAACACAAGTTGAAAAGAGAAAGGAACAGTTTTATGACCAGAGACAGTTGACAGAGACAAACACCAGTCAGGGAAAAAAGAGCTGATGAAATAAAATACTGGAAGAACTGACAACTATTTAGTAAATCTTTGATATGCTATTTCAACACATGAAGAAGGAAAGCAATCCATGTGAGAGAGACTTAAACAAATTCTTTAAGTGCTTTTTATTTCCACTGGAAGAAAAAAGAAAGAAAAGAAAAGTCTGAAAAAGCATTCTGAGCTGGTTTTAGTGGTGTAAGCTGCCTGTAATCTCAGCTACTCAGAGGCTGAAGCAAAAGGGTTGAAAGTTTGAGGACAGTTTGGACAATTTATGAAAACTAGCAAAATTTTTTTTGAAGGGCTGGGAAGCCGGAAGTGAGGTCCAAGTCTGTAATCTCAGCACTTCGGAGTGGAGGATTAAGAGTTCAAGGTCAGGCTGGTGAGACTGTGCGGAGGGCAAAGATGCTTGTCGGGCAGCCTGGCGACCTGGGTTCAAACCCTAGAATTTGTGGTGGAAAGGAGAGAACAACTCCCAAAAAGCTTTCCTTTCCTTTGCTAGGTGTGGAGGTGCAAGCCTTTAATCCGGACACTTAGGAGGTAGAGGAAGGTGGACTCTGTGAGTTTCAGGCTAGTTAAGGCTACATAATGAGACCCTGACCCCAAAACAAACAAACAAAAAACCAAAACCAAAGTTGCCCTTTGCCTTCCACACCTGTGCAGGGCACTCACAAGCCTGAGACTAATAAATAAAATAAAGAGTCCAAGGTCATTTTCAGCTACAGATCAAGTATGAGACTAGCCCAAGTGACACAAGAACCTTCCAAAAAATCAATAATAAATAATATATTTTTAAAAATTGAGAGAGTTGGGGATGTAGCTTAGTGGTAGAGCACTTGCCTAGCCCTGGAGCCAATCCCTAGTACTTCAAGATAGAAAGGTAGGTAGGTAGGTAGGTAGGTAGGTAGGTAGGTAGGTAGGAGAGTACGTAGGTAGGTAGGGGAATAAGTAGGTAGATGGGGAGTACATAGGTAGGTAGGTAGGTAGGTAGGTGAGTAGGTAGGTAGGTAGATAAATAACCTAATGTAATTTTAGGCATCATTGAGGAAATAGTCACTTAGAACAAGGATTTAAAACAGTGCTTCTCAATCTTCCTAATGCTGCATGTGACCCTTCAATACATTTCCTCATGCTTTGGTGACCCCCCCCCCAGCCATAAAATTATTTTGCTGCTACTTCCATAACTGTAATTTTGCTACTGTTATGAATTATAATGTAAATATCTGATATACGACACTTCCCCTCTCCCCAAAAAAGAGCTGGGTCATGATCCACGGGTTGAGAAACACTGATTTAAAGACTGACTCAATTAGATATTCAAACTACCTCTAAATTCTCAACAAGCATTTCTTAACTAACAAAAATAAGCAGAATTGGGGAGAAAGGGGAGGGAAAACAGTTTGTCCCTTTGAAGCTTATATGCTTAAGAATAACGCATGCTCTGGGCTGTCGTGGCGCATGCCTTTAATCCCAGCACTCAGGAGGCAGAGGCAGGCGGATCTCTGTGAGTTTGAGGTCAGCCCGGTGTACAGAGTGAGTTCCAGGACAGCTAGGGCTACAGAGAGAATGACTATTTAAAAAACAAAAACAAACAACAACAACAAAACATGCACACTGCCACCGCAGACAGGCACACCTGGGGAAAGCTGAGTCCTTAATCACACAGGAAGCTCATCCGTGTCCATGTTCTGTGAGTACCTGGACACCTTCAAAGATGTCCTGCTCTATCACCGTCCGCCCACCCCCTCGAGAAGCTCTCTCACTGAACCTGGAGCTAGGCGGCCAGTCAGCAAGCCCCAAGAACCTCTCTCTTCCTTCTCTAGTGCTAGGGTTGCAAGGTGCAGGCGGCCGCACCCAGCTGGCGCTCAGGTCCTCGGCGGGCGCGCGCGTTAAGCAAGAGTGCTATCTACTGAGCTGCCTCCCATCTTCAGGAAACTCGTTCTTCGGGCTATCTGCCCTCATCCCCTTCCTCCCCTGCACTAGCAAACAGGTAGGAGAATCATAGCTTACAGGTTAGAGAGAATGAGCGACAAGAGACTGCTGCCTTCCAGCCCATGCGCAGAGGTTCAGAGGCCAAGCCTGACCTCTGTCAAGCTTGTAACTGCATCAAAGATGGCTACAGAATGAGGGGAAACTCGTCTTCTCTTCTCAGAGAAGGACAGACACATTATTTTTCTGGTCTCCGGACATGGAAGAGGAACACTACACTCTTCTTGGCTCGATGGGTTTTCAAGACGTATCATAGTAAAGGGTAAATATGAAGAGAAACGAGACACCTTCAGAAACGGAGGAGCAAACGTGTTAGCAGACACACACCGACTGTGTGGAGGGGTCTTCAGGGAGTCACAGTCACGCCTCTCCTTACTTTATGCTAAAGCAGGCCCTAAGAAGGAAGTGATTTGTCCCAAATCACAGCAAAATGGTAACAGCATTTGAATGACTCTCCGACTCGGAAGCTCTTCGTGCCAGCCAGTCTTATAAATAGGGAACACGTCTCTCTCCACAGCAAAAGCAACAGCTTAGGCAGCTTAGGGGCTGGGTGGAGTCACCTTGACAGGCACTAGCAGATCAGGGAAGAGCTAGCTCCCTGGAGGCCAGCAGGCATAAACCATCTGGAACACTGTCCTCACCCTCAGTGGGTCACCAGAACACCCCCAGTGAGTGAATTAGCATACAGGTGTTTCTAGTCCCAAACAAAGCTTTGAAACCCACCTGAGCTCAGAAATTTGAAAGCGCGCACCAACAGGAAGGCCTGGATGGGGCCCAGGCTGACATCTCTGGGCTATTTAGCAAATCCTTGCCCACTGAGAAGTTGAGAAAAACTTTCACTTGGCACCAGCGAACACCTCCTCAGCAGACGTCAGCCAGTTTTGCCCTCTGGACCTGCTCATTTGCCCCAAGGAACCCACTGAGGGCACTTTTAATGACTTCCCAACTCTAACCTCTATTCTGAGAGTCCCCACTGTGCTGGACTCCAAGTGGTCTTATAAGAAGTCTACAGGCTTGGAGAACCTTCAGTACTTTGCCTTCACTGCATTAGGAGTGGATTTCGGAGCTAAGAGGTGAGGGGTGGACGCCCAGCCTTTCAGCTCTCCAAGGAGGCGCACCTTTGCACAGTCATGTAAATTGAGGGAGGAGACACAGAGACAAAGGCAGATAACAGCTAGCTGGACACCCCACCTCCTCAAGCCCTTAGGGGGCCGAGCCGCTAAATCCACACCCCCTATGTATCCAGAGTTGATGTAGGCACAGAATCACATTTGCCCTAACTACGTCCATCCCGGCTTGCAGGGATGTCCAGCTGTGCAGGGTGGGACTGGGTAGGAGTAGGAATTGACGGTCTCACCCATAAACTGTGTCTTCCCTCCCAAACAATCTCACCCACAGTACCCGAAGACTTCAAGAATTAAATCCCCTCACTCCCCAGGTCTGGTCCTGAATTCATTATGTGGTCCAGGTAAGAGATTCCCAAAGGTTAGCAAGAATAAACCATCTTGGATACTGTGCTGGGATTGTAGGTGAGCATCACCGATGCCTGGTTTATAAGGTGCTGAGGATCAAACCCAGGGCCTTGTGCATGCTAGGTAAACATTACATTCCCAGCTCCCATTCTTGATGCCACCTGCCATCCCACCTCGTGTCTTCCCTGCCCCCTTGCTCTCCTCCAGTTACAAGAACTTTCCTTTCCTCCCAGGTCGACTTTGGACCAGCTCTCCGGGCTTGGAGACCGGCCCCAGCCCGCCCGGGCCTGGCGAACGGGGTGCGGCCGAGTCGTGCTGGGACAGCTCCACGCTGCCTCCGGGGCAGCCGCGTGCGCTACTAGAACAGATCCCGCTGGGAAAGGAGAGGAGCTGATTTTGCAGAGGCCCGCAGGATAGCGACAGCCTGGGAATGGAGGCAACCGGGGCTGGGGGGTCGTTATGGTGAGAATTCAATGAAAACACAAATGAATGGACCGCGAAGGTGGCAGACAAGTGGTGAGCCCCGGAGCGTGCCTACCGTTCGGCGAAGCCTTCAAGACCGACCCTCGGACACCTCGCAAGGAGGCGGTACAGGGTCCCAACAGCGCAACTTGACCCGAGCGGGAATTCCCGCGGCCGGGAAATGCCCGGCCCACGGGCAGAAGACGCCCAGGCGCTGCATCCCAGAGCCGCCCTGCCCATCGCCGCAGCCCAGAATAATCCAGAGCCCAAGGACGCCGCCCTTACCTGCCCGCCTCGACAGGCTCACTACGGCTCAGGGCGGTCATCGCAGCGCCTTCTCCTGGAGCCCAAGGCGGCGAGCCAGACCTAGTGCCCTCCGGGCTCCGCCCACCCAGGGGGAAGGCCCACCCCCTGCCGCCCATTGGTCGCTTGCTCGGGATGAGCTCAGTTAATTGGTGGAGTCTTCCCCGCTTCCAGACCGCCCTCGTGGGTCGCAGCGGCAGACAGGTCTTCGTTGGGTCTCTCAAATTGCGAGGTCCCAGAAGACAGGCTGGGTCCGCAACTATGATAGGCCTTCACATCGCGTATTTTGCTTCCTCAGAGCCCTCAAGTTTGCTCTATTCTAGTTCCGCTCTGCCCTTTTGTTCCCAGAGTTCTTGGCGCTTCAACTTAATTTCACTGACCCGTTTTCCCACAGGACCACTTGGCCCTTGCGAGTGGCCCGGAGCAAAGGTCCTACCTTGTCCCTTATTCTAGAGAGGCTGTGTTTAACTGCTGTGGGCAGGGATTCATCCTACAGCACCCTCAAGTGGCCTCTAAGGCAGTGGTTGGCGCCAGCACACAACTCCATTATAGGTGCTGGGTGGGAGCTTTCCAACACACCTAGCCTTGGTGCTGGAGGCAATTTGCCTATCCAGTGAATGTATAGTATTCAATGGCTTAGCCCTTCGTCTTCCCCGCAGGTGAACTGGTGGGACCATGGCTGGGTAAAAGACCGTTTGTCATTTTCACCTGCTCAGAGGGCGGGGCTCAACCACTACCCCCCCCCCCCAGCAGAAAAGAACAGGACACAGGTGCTTCAGCTGCTGTTTATTGACACTCAGGTGGGCACTATAGCAACGGGCCTGGAGATGCTGCACAATAGAATGGAGGTGGAGAGTGCAGGGTGTGACTGCAGTGACAGCTGAGAAGTGTGCAACGAGCAGTGGGGGAGGCCAAAGCTGTTGGGGAAGCAAGTCCGGCCTGGGGGCCAGAGGTTATTATCTACACTGGAACCTGGGCCCCATGCCCTAAGCCCCTACACTCTTGCTGTCTCCTGACTCCAGGCCAGGGCTGGGAGTTCTCTGGACAACTTTCTACAGGAGCAAAGTACACAAGAGATGTTGCTGCCCCTTTGTGATAAAGCCAGAGGGTTTCCAATTCTGCATTCCTCTGTCACCCCTGGCTTGGGTAGGGCCATATGATAGACAGACAGCTGGGCTCTATTCCATGTTTCAGCGACAGTAATTTTCCCGGGTGTCCCAGCCCACCAGCGCCACACTCTGGCCCAGAGTGAGCACTACAAGCATTGCTGGCCTAATGGATTGGATGGGGAGGGGATGGGACAGGGGCTAGAAGAGGGGCTCCAGAGGGCCATCAAGGCACAGGCACTACACGCATGGTGTTGGTGAAGCCAGAGCCAGGGCGCCACCCAGTCAGCACAATGACCACATCTCCCTTCTTGAAGAAGCCTCGGGCCTTGCCTGAAAAAGCAGAAAGGTTGGTGAGTAGAGGTTTACACTTGGGGTAACTGCCCCAAAGCCCCGCTGAACAACCATTACTCTCTCCCACCAAAAGGTGGCGCTTACCTCCTAGCCCAGACACCAGCCAGGAAGGGGCATACCAGGGCAAATGCCCAAGAGCTACCACCTACAAACACAATGCTGGTAGAGGACTACACTGCCGGACCAATTCTTCTTCCTACCACAAGATGGCGCTAGCCTCCTAGCCTAAACAAAGGCTGCGTCCAGACTGCAGGGACCTTGGGAGGTCAGTCAGTTTATACTTGGCCAGCCTTCCCCAAGGTCAGAGTCCTCCTTTCACCTCCTGATATCCAACCATATACAGGAAAAGACCATAATCTGTGAGTTCCACCCACAGCACAGTAACTCCAGCCATGCCTAAGAAAACCTCAGTAATGAGTAGAGGCAATTATGCCTTGGGCACCAAACAGAGGGTGAGGACAGCCAGGCTCAGCCCAGGACTGGAGAGAATGATAGTTTGAGAAACCCCAGCAAAGCCACTGCCCAGCATCTTGCTTCCAGCTACATACCAACATTCATGGCCAAATTCACACGGAGGTCTACATCCTCAGCCCAGGCGTCCTGCACTGCGTCCTTACACAGCACAGGGAAGATGCCACGGTACAAATGGGCCTGGCGAGCTGTCTGGGGATTGCGCGTCACAGCAATGATGGGCGCACGCGGGCGGTACCTGGCCACCTGGTGAGCACTCCTGGGATGGGGAACAGGTTGGATAGACCGTCCATTAAACAGTGTCACAAGACCCAGGAGACAGGAAGCACCTTCATTACAGCAATACAACTCTGAGCCATAGGCTCCTCCCACTGGAAGTTTACTCTGCTCCAAGGACCAGAAAGCCTCTCCACTCTGCCCTCTGTGCTTGTTCCAGTAGGGCAGTTCCATAGCTAGAACCCCTTCCAAGAAGGGGGAGGCAATTGGTCCAATCTCACTAGCACCTACAGCTGCTATCAACATATACAAACCAAGCAACACGTGTTGAGCTCCAGACTGACATCTGGAAACAGCAGCAGCAAGGGTCAGACCCTGGGAGCCAATAAGACTGCAATACTATGGCATTCCCAAGGCAATCCCAGCAGCTGAACTCTAGTGCCCCAAACACACTTGATAAAAAGCTTTAGGTGGAGACCAGGCAGGTATAGGAATGCTTCTCCCATCTAGATAGATCCTTTGGGGATGGAGGGATCCCTTGTGACTACTTCGAACACGTATTTCAGGAACACTGAATTAACTGAACCAGCTCTGAAGACATCCAAGAAGGACTGGGAGACAAAGAACAGCAGAGAATGCCCTTCATGCTGGATCCACAGGCTTTAAACCTTCTATCTTGGAGCTCCTGAGAACCCACCAACTGCTACTCATTCCAAAAGCACAGGCTTAGCCCAGGTTAGACTCAAACTTGTGACCTTACTTGCCCTGACTCATGAGCACTGAGGTTACAGACATGGCACATCATACCTGGATATTTTTACTTATGTGTTGTTTAGCATGTGTGGTACCCACATGCAGAAGGCAGAGGTCGATAGTGGGTATCTTCCTCTTATACTCTCTCCACCTTATTTTTTTTCACTTTATGTGCAAGGGTCTTTTGCCCACGTGTGCACCTGTGTGCCACATACATAATGCCTGTGGGGTTAGAAGAGGGCACTGGATTCCTCCAAGACTAGAGCTATGCAGTTGTGAGCTACCATGTAGGTGCTGAGCAGTCAGGGACAAGTTCCCCCCCCCCCCAATTTCTTGACTGGCTTGCTGTGAAGCCCACAGTATCCTGACTGCATGCATTTTTGCCACAGGTGCTGGATCCAACTTCAGATTCTCATGCTTTACCCACTGAGACCCAATCCCTCCAAGTGGGACTTTAAAATGCTTATCGTTGTTATAGTGTGTGCCTGCTGGCATGTGTGAGATCAGAAATCAGCATGCTGCTCCTTCCATGGATTCGGGGGACCGAATACAGGCCAGGCTTACATAGCAATTTTACCAGTTGAGCCATCTCATCAGCCCTCCAAACTGAATTTGTAAGTAAACTAAGCAAAACTATTTGCTTCCAGTTCATTGTGAGGCAGGCTGTGAACTTACACTGGAGCCAAATGGTTTGGTATACCTGAGTGCTGTCTGGAGTCCTTTGGTGGCAGCCAAACTTGGCCCAAAGCCACTCTCGGCATCCCCAAGGAGGGACGTCAATTGAGCAGGACATCCCCAGGGAGCCACTGCCGCCTCCTACCTGCCAGACTTGGTGAGCACGATAATGGCCCCACTGCAGCACTTGAAAGAGGCCTCCACAGCACCCACGGCAGCAGCTTCTGTGGGGTCGCTGGTAATAGGCGCCAGACGGCGGAGTTCCTCGAATAACTGCAGGTGGTAGATGGCAGCCTCTGCCTCACGGGCAATCTAGGGGAGCAACATCCGTCCAAAGGGACGAAGGGGGGGGGGGGACATGGCTTTTGTCAGAGCTTTAGCACAAATGGAGAGGGAGGAGTCACAGACAACAGGGAAGGAAGACGTCCCCGGCACAAAAGGGCCAGGAGCAGAGTGCTCTGAAGTAAGATCAAAAATTCTACAGAAACCATCCTGCACCGGTGCCTGTGACTTCCAGTGTGCCCACAGAGAATCCTTTGGTCCTGTCCTATCATGACCTCCTGAGGTGGCCGGAGTGCAGAGCAGTTATCCTATACCAATACCTGCCGTTAGGGCCCTACCTGCCAGACTCCGTCAGAACTATCAAAGCTGCCGCTAAACACTTATAAGAAGCCTCCACGCTGCCCATGGCCATGGCCTCCATGAGGTCTGTGGAGTGACTGGAGGCCCGCACAAGTTCTTCAAACAGCAGACGGTGGAACATGGCTGCCTCAGCCTCCCGAGCTATCTGTAAGGTTTAGGGTAGGAGGGATAAGGAAGAGGGATGAAGAAGGCAAAAATAGGAGACAACACATGGAAAGACGGGGGAATTAATCAGAGAGGAAGTATAGTTAAACCTGTCCTGTGGACAGAAACAGAGGCAGGGTGGTCAAACAGTTCCTCCATTCCCCGTTGGGATTTCTTTTCTAAGCACTCCCATACCCACATTTGAGCTTTTAAAAAAAAGATCTTTCTCTGTGGCCCTCACTGACCTTGAATCATTCTTTGCCCCAGCCTTCCAAGTGCTGGGATCATGGGAATGCACCATCAGGTTTAAAGGGACAGAGTGATAGCCCCTAGGACCTTGTCACAGAAAGATGCCAAGGTGGAGGCCACATCACTCCCACTGACCACACTGCCTCATGACACAGCTTACAGGAAGGAAAAGGCCCAGGACCCTCTTCACATGGCTGTCTGCCTACAACAACCTACAGATGCAGGAGCTGTTGCTCAGTGTTTACAGTGGAAACATTGGGGCAGTTCTGGAAGCTGGGGTCAAGGGCCAAAATAGCCAGTGTACCAGTTCTAAACAGAGCCGTGGGAACTCTAGCTCACTCGAGTAGTACAATGAGCAGCCATGTGAAGAGACCAGTGCCTATGAAAGCATGCAGGGATGTCAAGACACGGATTAAAACTTTAACAATTAAAACCATTGCAAGATGGCAAGTGAGTTACAATACAGACTACCTGCTCAGGTAAGACCAGGTATTAGGTAATATGAATTCCAGAGAATTGAAAAGCAATAACCACCAGCATCTTAGTATGGAGGATGAGAAGCACCAGCAAATCATCTCACGGATTTGATAGCAGAAGCAGATTCACAGGCGGAAAGGACTCTTTTGGTCAAGAACAGAATACACACAGCGCAAAGGACAAACAACCATAGCTGGGGTGCCTAGCTCATGAGTACAGCTCATGGACTGCAGTTAGACACAGGAGGAGACAGCAGACAGGTAAGGGGAGAGGCTGTCTGAGTGTTCATGGATGGCAGGAGAGGCTTGGACCCCATGAAGAGGCAGCCACAGTCTGACCCAGACTTTGTGTCTCATCTTCTGAGCAGCGCCATGCAATCCCAGCCTCGAGGTTCTAAGTTGTCTGCTCATAGGAAAGACCAGGGCATGGAAGACAGGACATAGACATCAGAACTAAGCCCGACTCTAGAAGAGACCCGTCCACATCTGCTGCTCCAACACGGTGCAGCAGACAGCAAACAGGGCCCAGACAGCAAACTGGGCTCAAGCCCACATCAATCACATGTGATTTACATTACAAATTGGGGCCACAAAGATTACATCAACATGTTCAGAGGCCTAACATTTAATGGTGGCAGTAAATGTTAATTGCTAAGACTATAATTAATATCTCATCAAACTTATCATAGGGCGAGGTCTTGAGGTCACATAACCTGCCCACAGCTATACATACATCTCTGTGGTTGCATGCTTCAGAATATCTGGTCAAAGTCAGCCATAACCTGTTCCTGACCACTCTGTGGCCAGATCACACAACTAAGCAGGTAGCTAGAAAAGAGGTGTATGGTGTAAAACCAGGGAGGCAGTGACTATGGAGGTGACAGAAGGCACACGGTTTTCTGGGGGAAAAAAAGCACTTTTCTGCCACGGGCAACTATGAAGATACAACATTAATGTGAACAACAATTGCACGACACAAGCATGTGATGAGCCAGAGAGACCCAAGCCACACACCCTTCCAGGACAGGGCTGGCCTCTGTCAGCTTCAATACAGGCACACATAAGAAACCACAAAAAAGGTCACACAGTCAAGAATACAACCCCCGCCCCCGGAATCTGCACAAACTTAATAACTGGATAGCTATGCAAGAAAGAAAGGCAAGATGGCTAAGCCAGAGGGTGCTGTTTTCTCTCTTCTCAGATGTCTTAAATTTGGGGGTTTGTGGGAAACTGGGTTCACAAAAAGGATAGGGGTCCATTGCTGGCTGAAAATGGAACAAAAGTTCAAAAAAAATTAATTCACAATACTCTTCCACTAGGCAGAAGTAAGCAGCCCTGTAACTGGCTCCTGAGTCAACTCAGGAAGTTCCAGGGCAGAATATAGGGCTGAGAACCTGGGTCTCCACCTACGAGAAGCAGTCAGCAGGAGATGCTTCAGCTCAAACTCTTAGCTAATCCTGCCTCATTCTCTGAATACTGGACTTGAGGCATGACTCTCAGCACCGTATCTGATCAGAGCTGGAAGTCTGAAAGAACATACTCCCAGAGAAAAGGCTTCATAGTGAGTCCAGAGCCTGCTGAATTCCACACCTGCCCTCCACCCTAGCTCATCTGTAGCCCTGCTCTGGGTCTGGCACAGAAAGGGATGCAGTTACAGGACACAGGCACCATGCAATTCCAGCTCAGAACAGCTCAGTGTGGGTACAGCTTGCAGTGGAGAAGCATCTGTTCATGGCACTAGCAGGGCATCTAACTGTAAGCCAAACCAAGACACCAGCTGCGAACAAACTCTTAGCTTTTTAAAAATAGAGCCCTTTTACCATCCAGATCCAACGCTTCCTGACTGCATCCTAGGACTTAAGTCCTTTCTTTTGCCAGATGTGGCCTATGTAATGAAAGTGGCATCCTCCACAGCAAGAGAAAGTGGGGCAGGACAGAGGCAGTGAAAGCACAACAGGAAAATCAAGAAGCACCCCCCCACACACTGTCTCACTCTTTGCTGTGACATGGGGGAGAGGATGCAGAAGCCTCTGCTCTGAGGACTTACCAGGTGCTGCATGCGAACGGCCTCCAGAGGGTAGTCCCCTTTGGCGGTCTCTCCTGACAGCATGATGCAGTCTGCTCCATCTAGGACCGCATTGGCCACATCACTGCCCTCAGCACGGGTGGGGCGGGGCTTCTTGATCATGCTCTCCAGCATCTAAGGAGGGGACAGACAAGAGCATCTGCTGAGACCAGGGTGAGACTCTGGGCCATGTGCAGTGATAAGTGATTGCCAAGATGACTCCCTAGATAGTGTGTAGGTGCACGGAGCGCTCCGTACAGGCGTACACGTCTGGAGAACAGGGACCATTGGACAAGACCAAGAGGTCTCTCTCTTTGACGCAGGGTTTCTCTGTGTAACGGCTTTGGCTATCCTGGGATTAAGGTGTACACAAACCATAGCCCAGCGACCCAGATCTCTTAACCATAGTACACGGACAAAGGGAGGAGCACATGCCTGTGTGGCGCAGATGACTGGCTTCCCAGCTCGGTTGCATCGTCCAATCATCATCTTCTGAGCCAGGAAGACCTTCTCTGCAGGAATCTCAATGCCCAAGTCGCCACGAGCCACCATGATCCCATCACTGGCCTCCAAAATCTCATCAAACCTAAGCAGAAATAAAGGTAATATAGAACAGGAAGCCCAAAACAAAGGACGGACAGATGCTTTTCCAAGATCCTCGAGGGTCACACCGCAGGCACACAGAAGTGATGGGGCACCAAGATAACCCAGAGAAGGTTGATGATGTTGCCTGCTGAGCTTCAACATTGAGTGAGGGATGAGGTCCCCATCTATCGTGCCCTCTCTAATCAGTACTTCCATAAGAGAATGAGGCAGCCAGTGCTTCTACAAAGGCCCACAGATTCATTTAGCTCAGGATTCTGAGAGCATCCTTTGAGGTGCTAGGGCTGAAGGAACAACAAGAGCCACCAGTACCTATGGCTTATCAAGACAGAACAGATATCAAACTAGTCACCCTATTTTGCCTCATTTCCATGAGCACCAACTTAACCAAAGCATCATGTGATGTCCTATGGGAAGCTGACTGGAACAATCTTCATCAGCATCATTATGTCTGTTTTGAGAGAGGTTTCTCTGGGTCTTTGGAGATCTATCCTGGAACTAGCTCTTATAGACCAGGCTGGCCATAAACTCAGATCCGCCTGCCTCTGCCTCCGGAGTGCTAGGATTAAAGGCAGCGTGTGCCACCACCATCACCACCCAGCCTATTATGTTTTCTAATCAAAGAGCACGAGGCTACTAGTTTCAGCATGGATACCGGACCTGAGCTTCCAGGTGGGTACCAAAATGAAGGGCCCTATGATGCCCACCAGGCCACACCTTCCCCTCCAAGGGCTGGGCCATGAAAGGGGTCCCAGGACTCACCTGCGGACGCCTTCGTGGTTCTCGATTTTGCTAATGATCTTGATGTTCTTGCCCTTCTCTCCCAGGACCTTCCTAACCTCGTGCACATCAGCTGCCTTGCGGATGAAAGACGCAAACACCATGTCTACATCCTGCTCCACCCCAAACTTCAGGTCCTGGATGTCCTTTTCTGACACAGCAGGGAGGTCCACAGCAGCTCCGGGGAGGTTCACCCCCTTCTTGCTGCCCAAGGAACCACCATTCTCCACTTCTGTTATCAGGAAGTCAGCGCCTGCATAAGAGAGGTGGAGGACCAAAGCGATGAGGGTCCATCTTGTGGGAGGCAAGCAGCGGGGTCCCCTGCCCCAGTCCCTGAATCCCTGAATTCAGTGAAACACATGCCACATCACACCGAGGACACTGGAGCCATAAGGAAGCGAGTCCATTTCCTCACCTATAAATAACACTCCCAGGTTAAGGAATTTAAGTTGTGGATGTGCTAGCCTAGTATTCAAGAGGCAGATGCAGATAAAACTCAAAGACTAACATGGTCTACACACAGTGAATTCCAAGCCAGCCAGGGCTAAAGTGAAGCCTGGCCTCAAAACAAAAAGACAAATGGTCAGGCATGGTGAAAAAGGGAGTTCAAGGAGAGAAAAGTGAGAAGGGGAGGTTGGGGGGAACTTGGGGATACGGGTTGATTGGGATAAAGGAAGGTTGGATAGGGGAGCAGGGAAGCACATATCTTAATTAAGGTTGGCAAGAGACTTGGACCTAGAGGGGCTCCCAGGCCCTCTAGTTAGTTCCTGGGGCAGCTGAGGACAGGGAACCTGAAATGACCCTATCCTATAGCAATACTGACGAATATCTTTCACATCACCATAGAACCTTCATCTGGCGATGGATGGAGATAGAGACAGAGACCCACATTGGAGCACCGGACTGAGCTCCCAATGTCCCAATGAGGAGCAGGAGGGAGAATATGAGCAAAGAAGTCAGGACCACGAGGGGTGCACCCACCCACGGAGACAGTGGGGCTGATCTATTGGGAGCTCACCAAGGCCAGCTGGACTGTGACTGAAAAAACATGTGATAAAACCGGACTCTCTGAATATGGCGGACAATGAGGGCTGCCGAGAAGCCAAGGACAATGGCACTGGGTTTTGATCCTACTTCATGTTCTGGCTTTGTGGGAGCCTAGCCAGTTTGGATGTCCACCTTCCTAGACCAGGATGGAGGGGGGAGGACTTTGGACTTTCCACAGGGCAGGGAACCC